TTTAACTTCTTCCCTCCTGTTACAAACAATCACACCTGAAATCCCTTTTAAACTGTTTGGCAGCAGTTTTTGCATCAAAAATATTTTAAGAGACTTAAATGTAAATACTTTGCAGTATTTTAAAAATTCAACCTAATGAAAATAAGGCAATAAGCATAAACATAAACTTGTTGCTTTCAATCAAAAAAAGCATTTATTTTAGCCAAATATAACTCACATTTTTATCAAGGATTATTTTGCTAAGGAGACTATATATATAGATAGTTGTAAAAAATGATCCAGCCATGATGAAAAAAATGAAAAGCCATTTTTTTTGGAACAAAACTCTGTTTTTTGCTCTGATGTTCATCAACTGTCTGCAGTTACATCAACAAGTTGTAGTTGGTGTAACTGTCTGCAGAAGGTAAATCTGACGTTGTAATTTTGATCTCTTATGTTTTTTGCACTTAATTTGATTTTTTTCTGAACGAGAGAGTCAACCGAGAAGAAATTGGTGGGTTTTTTCATACTTCGTTTTTCGTTATTTTTTTACTTTAATAAAATAACACAAAACTAATAGTCGCAAATAGCGTAAAGTTTGTGTTCTAAAAAATTCTATTGTTTCTGTGTAATGTTTGTCCAAATTTTTCATAATGCCCTACATTATGAAAAATTTGGACAAACATTACACAGAAACAAGAATTTTTTAGAAACGCAAAGAAACAATAGAATTTTTTTAAAACGCAGCGCGGTAATGTCTTCATATGTGTTATACTTATGTTTTACTTGATCTTGATTATAAAAATATGTTTTACTTGATCTTTACAACCCACATTTCCATTTTCCATTAAATGAATTTTTAATACATTAGTTATATAATAATACGAGGGGAAAAATTTTTTTATAAATATAAAAAAAAAAGGTACCGGAACGCCCTTCCTGTGCATTTTAAGAGAAAAAAAGCACTGTTTATATATATATATATATATATATATATATATATATATATATATACCCACATATATATGTATATATGCATACTCACACACATATATATATATATATATATATATATATATATATATATATATATATATATATATATATATATATATATATATATATATATATATATAATATATATATACATATATATATATATGTATATATATATATATATATATATATATATATTTATATATGTATATATATATATACATATATATATAATAATATATATATATATATATATATATATATATATATATATATATATATATATATATATATATATATATATATATATATATATATATATATATATATATATAAATCACAAATACATATTTATTCACACTATAATTTTTAAACATTAACCTTTACAAAATAAACTACATATATGTATACAAATTAGTTTACTTTGCTTTAGTGTGTTGAACCTGATAATGATAATGGATATGCTAACACTGAATTCAACAAACTTGATCAAAAGGGGGATAAAGAATTAGTGAATTCAAAATTTTTTATTGAAGGTGATAATTTATAAGATAAATAAATTTATATTATGATAATGATAATGGATATGCTAACATATATATATATGATAATGGATATGCTAATATATATATGATAATGGATATGCTAATATATATATATATATGATAACCTGATAATGATAATGGATATGCTAACACTGAATTCAACAAACTTGATCAAAAGGGGGATAAAGAATTAGTGAATTCAAAATTTTTTATTGAAGGTGATAATTTATAAGATAAATAAATTTATATTATGAATCATAAATTTGAGTTATAATAATTGAAATCATAAAATCTTTAAATATGAAATTAGTGTCCAAAGTCATTATATTGTTTTATATAAAATTTGTACCTGCAGTGAGCCACTGCATTATATGCTCCTTTTAAACATGAAATTAGTTTTTGATGAACATTCATACTTATTTAACTTGAAAGGAACTTATAGAATTTTTGAGTTTTTTTTTTCTTCTCACTTGAAAAGAAAAGATCATTTATTGTTAAGAAATTTGAAATATGTAAAATATGTGGGTATGTTGAAAGGTTCATATAAATATGTGGTATGGTATAAATATTGGGTATGTTGAAAGCTTCAAAAATAAATGATTTTGAGATGCGTGAGATGTGAAAATAAAAGAGATGTGAAAATGAAAAAGATGTGAAAATGAAATCGATGTGAAAATGAAAGCGATGTGAAAATGAAAAAGATGTCAAAATAAAAGCGATGTCAAAATGATAGTGATGTGAAAATGAAAGTGGTGTGAAAATAAAAATGATGTGAAAATGAAAAAGATGTGAAAATGAAAGCGATGTGAAAATGAAAGCGATGTAAAAATGAAAAAGATGTCAAAATAAAAGCGATGTCAAAATGATAGTGATGTGAAAATGAAAGTGGTGTGAAAATAAAAATGATGTGAAAATGAAAAAGATGTGAAAATGAAAGCGATGTGAAAATGAAAGCGATGTAAAAATGAAAAAGATGTAAAAATAAAAGAGATGTGAAAATGAAAGTAATGTGAAAATGAAAGCGATGTGAAAATGAAAGCAATGTAAAATGTCTTAAGAGATAATCTTTTTAGTCTTGAATTTAAATTAAGAATTTTTCAATTTTTTAAGTTAATATCAAAGTATTAATTAAAAACAAAGTGTTTTATATATATATATATATATATATATATATATATATATATATATATATATATATATATATATATATATATATATATATATATATATATATATATATATATGTATATATATATATATATATGTATATATATATATATATATATATATATATATATGTATATATATATATATATATATATATATATATATATATGTATATATGTTTGTTTTATATTTATATATAAATATTTATTTGAATTTTAAAAGTGGTTCTTTTCAAGTTTCAAGGTTATAATTTTGAAGGATCTTTAATAATCTGGTGTCTTTATAAACTGCAAGAGTGATTGCATAGGTTATTTATTTGTTAAATAATTAAATTATTTAAGGTTAAAAATTTAAATTGTTTTAAAACTATTCATCTTTAACTATTAAAATCATTTTTAATGTTAAGTAAAAAAAAAGAGGCAAGTTATTTACTTAGTAGAAAAATGCAATAATTTAGATTAAAATTTAGATATAGATATAGATAAATATAGATGTATATATATGCATATATATAAATATAATTATATATATATATGCATATATATATGTATATAAATATATATATATACATATATATATATATATATACATATATATGTATATATACATATATATATATATATATATATATATATATATATATATATATATATATATATATATATATATATATATATATATATATATATATATATATATATATATATATATATATAATATATATATATATATTGTAGGAATTATGTTAATATTTCCAGTAAGAGTGCTCAATACAGCGTTTTATATAATTAGTAGAGCAAATAATATAGTGAAAACTAAATAATTATTAAGATATATTTCAATTACATAACTAAAAGTTTCACGCAATAGCGATCATCAGATGTAACAACAATAAAAAGTAACGACAAAAATTATATACAAAAAATGCTATGGAGTGTCCGCTTTGATGACATTAAAGTTTTTTATTAGAAATTTATTTTCATGGCGGCATTTTGACGCAAGCTCGGTTCTTTTGTTAAGCAAATTCAATGGCGACGTAATAATGTGGTATTTTTCTGTCAAGCATAAATTGCAAAATTTACCACCAGGTTTGAATGGCTCCGCTTGATCGAGGATATTCCATTTTAAAATAGGTTCTATACCTTTATTTTTGCATTCCCACACAAATTTCGAAAGTTCAGTGGAGTTGGCTTTACTTTCATAAGAATTTATGAATGTCATCAAAGCGGACACTCCATAGCATTTTTTGTATATAATTTTTGTCGTTACTTTTTATTGTTGTTACATCTGATGATCGCTATTGCGTGAAACTTTTAGTTATGTAATTGAAATATATCTTAATAATTATTTAGTTTTCACTATATATATATATATATATATATATATATATATATATATATATATATATATATATATATATATATATATATATATATATATATATATATATATATATATATATATATATGTATATATATATATATATATATATATATATATACATATATATATATATATATATATATATATATATATGTATATATATATATATATATATATATATATATATATATATTATATTATATATATATATATATATATATATAGATATAGATATAGATAAATATAGATATATATATATATGCATATATATAAATATAATTATATATATATATGCATATATATATGAATATAAATATATATATACATGATGGTATATACTATGCATTGTGGGAAATTAAAAGCTTTGCAGTTTTTAGTTCAGCAGAGACAATAAGCCTACATTTAGAATATGGGCGGCGCCCAAATATGGTCAGTGCTGTTGAAACGGTCTAGCCCTATTAGCTCTTGCATGATGAAGATTGGAAACAAATACTTGACATTCAATTGAAAAAAAAATATTTATCAATAAAATGTCAAGCAGAAACTTGGTCTATTTTGAACATTGAGTGAGGGGTTTTGGTGAAAGAAAATAATAAGAAATCTAACAAGCAATAATAATTTACAAGCAAAAACTAGTTCTTTTATTATCTTTACAAAAAATTAGTTTTTTCTTTGGCAAATTCAATTGGAAGCTTGATTAAAAACATTTTGTTAAAATGTTTTTAATCAAGCTTCTTTTAAATTTCGTTAAAATTTCTAAAATTGTAACTATATATTTTTAAAAAACATTCTTATGTTTATGGTCCTTTACGTGATTCCTATTATATTTTTACACCTCCAAATTATTTTTCTTAATTAGAGCTCTTCTTAATTGTTTAAGTTCAATAAATGTTTTGTACACTATTTTTAGAAGATTTTGAATCAAATATAGCCAAGCAAGGATTTCTTAATGTACTAAAGAATGAAGTTGTTCAAGAAAAAGAATTTGATGAGATTCTTCCTGTTCTTAAAGATTCTTCACTTTTTATTTTTACTTCTACAAACAGGTGAGCTAAAAAAATTTCTTTTGTAATTAGAATTTTTTAATCTATTTGAAAACTTTTTTTTAAATAAGTTTAAAATGTTACTTTAGTTTTCGTGTACTTTGTCACAAGATTGTTCAATCTAAATATTTTGATTACGTTATTATTGTAATCATATTTTTAAGTTCACTAATGCTCTCGTTTGAGGATCCTATTGATATTCAATCTTCTTTAAACAACGCAAGTTTCATTAATTTATTATTTTATGTTATCTTAAATCATATTATTTAAAAAAAAATTGTCAGTGATGTTAGGTGGTTTTTTTATCTTGTATAATATTTTTCATAAAGAAATTTTTTTATATTTTATGATGTTGTTTATAAGCTTTTATAACTTTTAATCTTTTATTCCTTAGGTTGGTAGATATTGTGACTATATTTTTACAGCTATTTTTGGAATAGAGATTTTTCTTAAGGTGAATCGTTAATGATTTCCTATTAAAGAGGGTGTCTGAAATGTTGTTATTCTTTTCTTTTTTTTTTTTTTTTTTTTTTGTAACTTTTTATTGCTTTTACTATACAATAATAAATATTATTTTACAATTTGATTTTCAGGAAAAAAAAAATTTTTACATTATGTTTTGAAAGTTATAATAATGAACTTTACTTAAGCATTTATCATAACAAAAAGCAAAAAGTTCTTTGAAATATTTGGAATGTCTCAAAAGTTTTGTTTTAACTAATATTTAGCTGTTAGCTTGTTCATGTTTATTTTAAACTTGTTCATGTTTACTTTAAACTTCATGCAGTATGGGACAATGCACTATTTTGTTAAAGCAAATTTATATTATGCAGTTCTAACTGATCATGTTTATTTTAAACTTGTTCATGTTTACTTTAAACTTCATGCAGTATGGGACAATGCACCATTTTGTTAAAGCAAATTTATATTATGCAGTTCTAACTGGTTTTTACTAAAAATGTTATTTATGATATATGCTTATTTATGAATAAACATTTTGTACTGTTGACTATAACCACAGTTATGTTCAAGAAAATAAATAAAATTAATTAAGCCATAAATCTGCACTATACAGCAATCTTACATAGATGTAAAGGTCTTGAGTGGGTTTGCTTTGGGTTTTTTATTTCATAAAAACTACAATTTTGTTTATTTAATGTGTCATTCAGGTCATATTGACATCATGTCATGAAGTTTAAAACAAAGTTTGTTCATTATGCAGAGTTAGTAGTTTACACCCGTTCATGATAATTCTTGTACACTTTTGGGTATATGTTCTATAATTTTTAATGAACAAATTTGTTGTGGTCTTTTTGTTTATAAGTAAAGAAACGCTTCTCTAGCTTTTTCAAATTTTTTCACAAATCACCAAGCTGTCTGTAGTAAAAAAGGATTTTGTCTTTTTATCTAGATTATCAAATTTCACCATGTCATCAATTGTTGCGATTTCTGAATTTCACCATGTCATCACATTGTTGCGATTTTTCACCATGTCATCACATTGTTGCGATTTCTGAATTTCACCATGTCATCACATTGTTGCGATTTCTGAATTACTATTTCATGCTTCTACATCTAGCTGTGGATTGTTATCAACACCATTCATTGTTGGGGAGTGTTATCAGCAGCATTCATTGTTGTGGAGTGTTATCAGCAGCATTCATTGTTGTGGAGTGTTATCAGTACCATTGGTGCGGAGTGTTATCAGCAGCATTCATTGTTGCGGAGTGTTATCAACACCATTCATTGTTGTGGAGTGTTATCAACACCATTCATTGTTGTGGAGTGTTATCAACACCATTTATTGTTGTGGAGTGTTATCAGCAGCATTCATTGTTGTGGAGTGTTATCAACACCATTCATTGTTGTGGAGTGTTATCAACAACATACATTGTTGTGGAGTGTTATCAGCAGCATTCATTGTTGCGAAGTGTTATCAGCAGCATTCATTGTTGTGGAGTGTTATTGGCAGGATTCATTATTGTGGAGTGTTATCAACAGCATTCATTGTTGCAGAATGCTATGAACAGCATTCATTGCTGTAGAGTGTTATCAATAGCTTTCATTGTTGTGCAGATTATCCAACTACAATTTAACAACAGTTAGTTTTTCTTCAAAAAGCTGAAAATAAAATGTAAAATTAAAGTTTGATAACATTTGGGATACCCTTCACATTAATTAATATTTGCTTGTTGTTAACTTTATTTTGGAATAATTTTATTGAATAATAATTAATTATTTTGTCATAACGATTCCATTATTATTGTTAATATAATTAAATTACTGTCAACATATTTACTGTTGCATAATAAAATTAGCATAACTTTTTTTTCTATTGTTGACATAAATTTATTATGCTTGTTATTTCATCAAAATGAAAAATTGTTTTCAGATAATAGATACTGGCTTCATTCTGCATAAAGGATCATTTCTTCGTGAATCTTGGAATATACTTGATGTGTTTGTTTTCACTTCTAACCTACTTTCAATTATTTTTCTGTATATCTTTTTTTTTATATTTTAACTATATTTTTATGTTTTATTGTTTTTTATTTGTTTATTATATGTATTTTTATATTTTTTTTATATATTTTTTTCAACTTTTAAGAAATACTGAAAAATATAAAATGTTACTAACAATAAAAGTTTTGCGTGTGACACGAGTACTTCGACCAATCAAAGCAATTCAAAAAGTGAAAAAACTAAAAGTATATTGGTTCATTTTTTTTTTTGTAATTTTTTCTTTTAGCATTTAAAACTTATGAATAAGTTGTTATACATAACTAATTAGTTTTGCTTACAAAAATTAGTATATATACTCTCATATAATCTAATGATAAAAATTTTTTATTTTTATTGGTTTATATAAAAAAATGTATTTAATTATAGATTGTTTTTCAATGCATGGTTTACTCATTAAAAAACGTTGCTTTTGTTTTGATTATTACACTGCTGATGCTTTTTATATTTGCTTGTATTGGTGTCCAGCTCTTTAAAGTAAACAGTTGTTTTTTTTCATGATTGTTTATTAGGGTTTATTAGGTTGCATTAAAAAAATAAAAGTTGGATTCTTTAAACGTAATAATAATAAAAAGTTGCTTTTTGCTTAAAAATTTTAATTTCAAAAAAAATACTTAAAAGAATTATAATCTTCAGGTGCCCCAAGGAGAGGAAAGGGGCCAAAAAGTCCACCCAGAAACTATTTTTTCAATTAATAAAATAATTTTTTTAGACTTTTTTGAAATTTTTTGGATATTGATATTACATATTATGCATAACCAAGCCAATATAATGACAAGAGGTATAAGTAGAAAGAAAAACTTTAATACTTTAGATACAAAAGCAAATTAAAACTTTTTAACATTACAGCATGCAAGTGGTAAAAAGCCTTAAGTGTTAAAAAGCCTCAGCATGGATCAAAAGTATTTATGGAAAATAGCAAGTGCTATTTCTCTTGGTGAATGCTCGTCAGCATTGGTGCAACAGCTCCCAGGAGCTCTAAATCATTCAAGGTGGCTAAAAATTGCAAACCGTGTGCTGCATCAGGACCATCAGAGCAGCTAAGAACTTTGTGAACTTATATTGTTTGTGTTTACCTTCTAATGTGGTTTTATATTATATCGAAGTTTTCTTGTAAACATGGAGCTAGGAACCTGTGGAAAACAATTAAAATGTTGCATTATTTGTCTTCTAAACTAAAAGACATCAATCCTGTTATAAAAAAAAAATGGCTATTTTGTTCATCATGAAAACAATCTTCTTTAAGTGATTAGGAATAAACGAAAACACTTTCAAGAATTAGATTTGTGCAGAATTTTAAAAACAAGGTCACAGCCAGTTACTGGAATTTGTTGTTCCTGAACTAAACTTTGACAGTTCTGATTACAATAATCTCATTGATTGACAAAACACTCAAATAACAGAACCTCCATTGACATTTGACCTTTCTGATACAGTTATTAGAGAGATAGTCATTACAGTTATTAGAGAGATAGTCATTACCTTAGGTTTCCATGTCACATTCAAGCTGTTGAACATTGTGTTAAAGTTGTTATCGAAGCATCAGCAGCAGTGTGTATGTCATAAATTGAGAGACGGATTTATCCGATCAAGATTAGAGAGTTGATGTATAATGCCAGCATTTAATTCAGAATACCGGGGTTGCAGAATTTAATGCTATTATCCGCATTTCAGCATTTACTTGACTTGTATTAAAGTTGTCTTAAATTTTTTAATTTAATGTTAAATAGTAAGAGTTATGTATTTTTATGCATAGTTGGTAACATTGGTAACATTTATCATTGGTAACATTGGTAACATTTATCATTGGTAACATTGGTAACATTTATCATTGGTAGCATTGGTATTATTGTAATACCAATTATTGTAACATTTAGATATAAATATATACAAATTTGATAAATTAAAGCCTTTTACTTTAGCTTTGGTGGTTCATTTTCCAAATAACAGGGGATGATATATTAGTATACAATTGTGATATAATTTTGAAAAAAAAATTTTTTAATATATTACAATTTTATGCTACTTTAGTTTAAGTATTTTTTTTTCAGTTTAAAATAATTCTCTAAAGAAATTAATAATCTTCTGTAGAAGAGAGAACCAAAAAAATCTTTAAATATTATTTTTTTAAATTAAATATTAGAATTGCTAATAGTTGAATATAAAATTAAAAAAAAGTTTAAAATTCTAAAAAATTTTGCCATTTTTTTTACTGATTGGGGCACCTGAAGAGCATTATTATTTTAATTTTTTTTAAACAAAAAGTTAACTTTTTATTGCTATTACATATACAGTTGTGGCCAAAAGTCTGTTTTATTAGTGTTTTTTCAACAAATTCAAAGTTTAAATGGACACAGTTTAAATGGACACTCTAACACATCTCACAGTTTATCAAAACATTGTTTAAAATCACATTACAGTAATATAGTTCAGTTTTACATATCACTAATATCTGCTACACTGTCCCTTATTCTTAATTACTTCAGCAATTCTCACAGGCATAGAATTTACGAGATTTTTACAAACATCAACAGTTATGTCTGTGCACTAAACACATGTAACAATGGCACAAAGATCATCTAAGTTTGATGGTTTCTCTTTATCAATCTTTAGTTTCATTATATGCCATAAGTTTGCAATGGGGTTAAGGTCTAGGCTCTGCCCCGGCCTAGGACCTAGTACCTTAACCCCATTATCTCGAAGCCAGTTTTTTACTAAAGCTGCTTGATGGCAGGGAGCACCGTCATGCAAAAACAGTTTGCAGTTGTGAATCTGCATAACTGTCAAAAGCTTTTCATCGAGTATGGTAATACATTTCTGTGCATTCATAGTGGTATTTTGTGAGAGTAAGTATTAGGAGCAACAGCCAGACGCTGAGAAGCTGTCCTATACCATCAAGTATGCTGCATTTTTAACAGTTTGTATGCAAAACTTTGAATCAAATCTTTTATTGGCAGGACGGTGAACATATCTTGGTGCTGCAGAAAACAACTTTATGTTACTTTCATCACTAAACATTACTTCATTCCACGTTTCACTAGTGTAATGTTTGAATTTCCTGCAAACAAGTAATCTATTCACTTGTTCTTCTTTGATAACAGTGGTTTTTGTGCAGGTTGGTACGTTTTTAGATTAAAAGTGTCACTTTTAATCTAAAAGCGTACCAATCTGCACAAATGTTGTCGAATGGTTTTTGCACTAACTCTGTGTGGCAGTTGACTTGCTATAGCAGAGGATGATATCATTGTATTCTTTATTATGTGTCGATTTATTGCTCGATCTGTAGCAGGAGTAACCTTAGGGCGTCCGGTTGGATGTTTTAATTTCATATCACCTGTCTCTTGCCAACGTTTCATTGTCAATGACACAACTTGCTGGGAAACATTAAGATGTTGTGCCCCAGCTGCTTGTGTTAAACTCGAGTTAACTAATGCAACAATCTGACCATGTTTTTTAGGTAAAAATTCTATTTTTGGTATAAAATTATTGATCTAAAGTAAACAAAGAACACAGCATAAACAAAGAAAAAATGAAACTATTTTGTTTTTTTTAATAAAAGATTATCTCAATTAGTTCAAGCAATAAAACCAACAGCTTTTTGGTTCATTTCTAGGCTTTCAACAAGCTTAAAACAGCAAAATGGCGCAAAATTTAGTTATATTTGAGCATACAACAGACTTTAGGCCACAGCTGTACAAATTTTGACTTTTTTTCTTCACCTAATATTTCAATTTTACATTGTGTATATCAATACAAATTTGTTTGTAGAAATACTGTTTTTTTAATTTTTAATTTACTTATTGTTATATGATTTTATTTATTTCTCAATTATTTTATTAGATAAGCAAAATTTAAGTTATATTTAAAAATTTTATTCAGGGAAAATCTTTCTATTGTAATGATGAAAGTAAAAGAACTGAGGATGAGTGCAAGTATAAAATTCTTTAAAATTTTCAATTCTAATAAAATTTATATTAAATTATAAAATTCATTGATGCTATAATATTTTGAAAAATCAGTATTGTTTGACTGAAGTTTAAAAATTGAAGTTTATACTTTAACTACGAATTTCAATGTTTAACCTTCTTTCTATTACTGAAGTATGTAGAGAGTTTAAATAAAATATTTTTTGTTTGTTTGTTTGTTTTTTGCACTAAATTCTTGAGCATGTTTTAATAATATTTTCTTGAATTGATTTGTTTTGCATTGTTTTTTGTTACTTATTTTTTAATTTATTTTAATTTTTTAATTTATTTTGTTACTTATTTTTTATTTTATTAAAATCAATTTAATTTTTTAAAATAAACTTTGTGGAGCAAACAAACAAAAACAGAAGTTCAGCCTTTTTGTTTATGGTAAATATCGCTGTGGTACAAAGTACCAACCAAGTTTTTTCAAAAAAAATGCCACTGCAGTTTTTCACATGAAATTTTTTTAAGTGTAAGTCATTTAAAAAAAAAAATTATTTTAATAAATAAAAAAATTTTAAAAGCATTTTTGTTATTATATATAAAAAAAGGCATGTTGTTTGTCTTTTACCACAGTCCACAATGACAATCCGATATCAATATACAATGTGATTTTTGATGTTGTGTGTTTTTACACTGTACAATATGGTATTAATAATAAATTTTCTTACTCGTATGAAAGACAAAGTTTTTTTGATTTCGACAAATGAATCAGTGTTTTTTAAAAGGCCTGATTTGACATTTTTTTTGAAATTAACTTTTTGTGTGTTTTGTGTTCTTCTATGATAGCTTCATCAGTTTATGTTAAAAATTTGTTCAAATTTTATCTTCTTACACAAATAAAGCCACCTGGAAGTTTTTGGTTTTTATTAAAAAGGCGAATTTATTTCAAATATGCCTTTCTAAAAAAATGACTCTCCAGCTAATTGGTATTTTTAGGTGCAATACACAGAAAATATAAATAGTTGAGACACTTGACAAGTGTCTCACTTGACAAGTGAGAAAAATTAAATCTTAGGTTGAAATCACTACATCTCAATGATATAAAAAAAGAAATTAAAAGAGTAACGCAGGCTGATTTAGATGTTCATAAGCGCAGGAGTAAAATATTTTACAATGCTTTAAAATATGAAACATTAGAAGATGGCTTAAAAGAGGAGTACATTCTATCATTGACATTTAACTATATGAAGACGATAAGCTTGCCAAAAATACCTGTCCAACAACTTTATTACATGAGACAGCTATCAGTCAATATTTTTTCTATACATAACATTAAAGAAAAAAAAGTCATGTGTATATTTACTATGAAGGTCAAGAAAAAGGCCTAATGAAGTTGCAAATTTTTTTAATGACTTTTTGATCTCAATTCCGCCTAAGTATAATACATTACAGTTGTTTTGTGACAACAGTAGTGGACAAAATAAAAATAAAACCTTATCACATTTTTGTTGATACTTAGCTGACAATGGAAGCTTTGATAAAGTTGAACAGTTCTTCCCAATGAGAGAGCATTTTAATTTTGAAATTATTGGCATTTTTTGTATTGAGTAAGAAACGATAGCTTGCGTAACCAGCAACCATAGTAGTACTTGTCTGTCTTTATTTAACAGATATCATCAATGAAAAAGTTTTTGTTACATGTTGAATAAATTAAAATTTATAATTTATAAAATATATAATTTATAATTATTTCAGTTTGTTTATCAATAAGTAGCTTAACTAAACATTTTTTTTTAAAGAAAACAATTTTTATTTATCGGCGTTTTTTTTTTTTGTTTTTTTTAATAACTATGACTTTAAATAAAGTAGATCATTCCTGGAATGATCTACTATTTTTTGATTATTACTAAAATAAATTGCCCATTCATCAATTCTTTTTGACACTTAACAGATCTTTCTCTTTTTTAATATATATTGACATCTACAAGTAAATGGGCTGCCTCCTATATATAGTTAGTTTCCTCTCTTGCGATATGGACTTTGGTATAATTTTTAGTGTTTTAAAAATCGTCTAAAAATATCACATGCATCAACTTACCGAGCTTATTATTAGCAGCTTCACAAAAACTATGAAAGAAATAGTGGATGAAAGAAATCAAACCCTATCACGTTTTTGTTGATACTAAACTGAGAGTGAAAGGTTTGATAAAGTTGAACAGTTCTTCCCAATGAGAGGGCATAGTTTTCATTCTTGCAATAGGGACTTTGGTATAATTTCAAGTCTTTTAAAAACACATGAACGTTTTTATCATGAACGTCTTTAGCATCAACTCACTGAGCTTATTATTAGTTTACTATGAAAGAAATAGTAGTAGATAAAAATAATAGATGCAACTGAATTTTTTGATTTTAAACATTGGATCCCAAAACATTACAAAGAATCTTACTCTTAATTTCTTCAGAAGTCAAACACCCCAATAGAAGTAAAAACACCCCAATAGAAATAAAAACACCCCAATAGAAGTAAAAACACCCTAATAGAAGTAAAAACACCCCAATAGAAGTAAAAACACCCCAATAGAAGTAAAAACACCCCAATAGAAGTAAAAACACCCCAATAGAAGTAAAAACACCCCAATAGAAGTAAAAACACCCCAATAGAAGTAAAAACACCCCAATAGAGTAAAAACACCCCAGTAGAAAAGAAGTTTCACTTTTCTATTAGTAACTTTTTCATTTTGTATATGAGCATGATAAAAAAGGCTACATTAAGGCATTTACCAATATCAATGGTTTAGTCTATCATACTATTTTAATGTCTAAAGATATTGGTACTGGTATTGTACCACAGGTGGATAGCTTATCCAAGTTGGCTTATCCAAGTTGCAAAGTTACACTGAAAAAAGTGAAGGTGGTGGAAGGCCTTCACAAATTAAAAGAATTCATTCCTGAAGAATTCAACGAGTTTTATAACGAGCTTTACTCGTGGCCGACTAATGAATCTCCCTGATAGTGACTTTAAGGAAGAACTAGACTTAACTTATTTCTTACTGATTGTTATTGTAGTTATTAATTTATATATATGTATTATATTTATATTACTGGCACATTAAAACATTGCTTTAAAGTAAGCTTTGTAGTTCTTAAGAAGTTTTAATTTGTTTTCCTTTCTGAAATATTATATATATTTTTTTTTAATTTCATACATTAATTATTAACGAATGAAATGTTATAACAATTATCAAAGTGTACTAAGATGTTACTCTTGCATCCATGTTTTAAAAATTGATTACACACATACTCTTGCATACATATTTTAAAAATTTATTACACAAATTCTCTATATTTAATATTAAAAGATATAAAGAGTTTTTTAGTTTTCTCAAAAATAGATTTTGAGCAAATCAGCGCTTTTAAAAAACACTGATTCAAATATTGTTAATACTTGTTTTTATGCTTCTTTTTTTTCTCAATTGTTAAATTAAATATTATTATAAAACAATAAAATTAGTTTAATCTATAAATAATAACTTAAAATTGGTTATAAATAGTAAATTTACAAAGTTGCTTATAAATAATAACTTTTAAATGTTAACATTTCTGCTTTTAATTTTTCTAACTTATTTTTCATTTATCTTTTATTAGGGGAAGTTTTTATAATTATGATACTGCATATGAAAGCATAGTGGACATATTACCTAAAGTAAGTGTGATTACCTAAAGTAAGTGCGACTATTTTCTTTATTTTGAAAATGTTTATTATTTGAAAAAAGTCTTTTACTTTATTTTAAAAATAACTATTTAAAGTTTGAATTAAATTTGATTAAATTAATTTTAATCTTAAATTCTAAAATTAGCTTTTACTTTATGATTTAGAACTTAGATATGAACAAAATATTTTTGAAAATTTTTTGTTTCAAAAATATTTTTTTAAGTACTTACTTTAAAATATGCATTAAAGGTCTCATAGTATCTGATGTATTATTATAGTATACATTAAAGAATGTTACATTTTTTTTATTTTAGACTGAAGATAGAGTTTGGAAGAGAAGTGATTTTCATTTTGACAATGTTATTGAGGCAATTGTTACTCTTTATGTATGCTCTACAGAAGATAATTGGCCTACGTAAATATATTTTTTTGCTTATGGTGTTATGATTAGGGGAGATATTTTTTATTTTTTAATTAATTTTATGTTTTTTATTTTATTTTTATTAAAAGGATTACATAGTTTTAAAGGTAGAAGTACTAGTTGAATATTTTTTTACTTTTTAATTTTATTTATTGGTTTAATATTTTAATTGTACTTTTGCTATAGAACTATGTATCAATTTATGAGTGTGACTAAGGAAAAAGAAGGTCCTTTAGAAATGAGCAGTTCATATATGGCGCTGTATTTTATTGTTTTCATGGTCATATTTACTTTTTTGATAATTAACATATATATTGCATTAATTATTCTGACATTTCAAAAACAAGGTGAAAAAGAGATTCAAGGTGGTCTTGACAAAAACCAGGTAATAATTATTAAATCTCCTAATAATTGTTAAGCCTTTTATTAATTAATAAACCTGTTCAAAATTGTTAAACCTGTTAATAATTATTAAACCTGTTTACAATTGTTAAACCTTTTAATATTTGTTAAATCTGTTAATAATTTAATTTTAAAATTTTTAAACCTGCTAATAATTGTTTTCAAAATTTTTGCATAGTGCAATATTTGAACTTATAAAATTAAAACAAATTTTTCTAATTTTATTTCAAATCTTAAAGTATTTTCTACAAGAAGTAATCTTCAGTTGAAATATTTTTATAACAAATATCTGTTAAAAAAAGTTTGAAATATGAAAATATGAAAATGTGAAAAGTTAGAGTTTAAAAATAACAAAAACTTAACATTGGTAGAAAATTGACAAAATAAACAATAAAAATGATAATTTCTAATTAGTGTTGTTACGACTATTAAATAATTCCTCTGTCAATAAATCGACCAATATATTTTCTAAAGTCAACTAAAATCGAATAATACATCGAATATCGAATAATAATAATAAATTTTTGACATCTTCATATAAGTGCATTTTTTCATAGAGATTAGTTTAATCATTTTCATTTACATTTCTTTGCTAATTTTTGACTTGGCGTCATTTGCCAGTATACACGCAAAACACACTTGCGTGTGTGTGTATATATCTATCTATATATATATATATATATATATATATATATATATTAATATTAAAATATATATATATATATATATACATATATATATATTAATAAAAGTCTTTATATAAAATTAATAGAAAAATTTTATTTGTAAAAATTTAAACAAAATTTTATAATATTATTAATAAAAATTATAAACTTTAAATTAATTAAAATATAAATTTTATTTTTCTGATCTTTTTTTTTTTTTATATATATATATATATAAAGACTTTTATTAATCATTAAGTTTTTCAAAACTTCTAAAATGTGACAACACTGGTTTTTCCTCTGAAGTCTTCATATATTTATATACATATATATGTATGTATATATATAACTATATAGTATTATAAGAATTTATGACTTCTTATAATGCAGCAAAATCTTATGGGTTCAGTATAACATAAGCTGTTTTGTTGAACCTTTCACCGCATATTTTCAAAACTCATCATTCTTAAAGACTTCATCATCATTCTTGAACCATCCATTGTTGCACATTCGATAACTGCCATTTCTCATCGAAAGTTTAAAAAAAAAAATTAAATATGAGTTGTAGAAGTATAATATTTCACTTCTCAAGCAATTTATTTTTTTTAAAATATCTACATGAAATTATCGAATTTGCAACTTCCGTCCGTGACTTCTGTGCATGATCATTCATGAACTGCATTTAAACGATTGCTGTGACTTTATGATACATAGTGCAGTCTTTTAACTATTTGGAAAGCTTTACTAATGTTTAAA